CATGCATGTGGGCAACGAGACCTTCTGAGGTGCCTTCAAGAAGCGTCCTCAGAATCTTTGTCTCCAGGGAGGAGAGAGGGAGGCCTTTATCCACTGCTGCTATCCCCATGGACTTGCCTCAGGGGACATTAATTGTCAGTATTTCCCTGTTGTGGAGCCTGCGGGCACCTCAGCTGGAACCCAGAGCAGGAGCAAGAGACAAACGGGATGTACACAATCACCCCAGAAACTCCCCTAAGTCACTCATAACATGCATCCAGGGCCTACCGAGTCCTTTCTGTGTAGCATCCTGCAGAATGTTTGCCTCAGTCCCTCTAACTCTCCATCAGCCAAGGTTTCCTTGAACTTCAATTGACTCATCTACTTCTTCCTGAAGAAGTCAGCAGAGCCACGGCCACCCACTTGCTGGCACCTGAACCGTGTGTTTCACTTTTTTGTCAGTGCTTTATCAATTCTTGGATTATTCACATCTTTTCATAGATTTTTCTTGGGCATTGAGGGTACAAACACTAAGTGACTTGTTCAGCGATCCATCCACCCCTTTGCCCCTGAGCTCTTATTGTTGAAAGTCCATCATGCTAGCTGCATTTGATGCCGTCCCACTGTAATGCCCATGTCACTCGAGATTCTTTTAGTTGCAAAGCACAGAAACGGAGTCTGGTTGGCTTGAACAAGAAAGAAGATCCAGTAGGTGCAAACTAGGGCAATTCAGGGGATAGAAGGAAAGACAAAATCTACACAATTCAGGAAGGACAGTAACCAGGGAAAGGTCCAATATTAGGAAAATGTGGTTTGACCCTTGAGGCCTCTGCCACCAGCTAGCTTAAGTCCACACACTGTGAGTCCTAGTGTCTCTGATTAAAGTTTCACATTCCCAAAAGACAGAATAGCGTGGTCAGTGACTGTATACCTGCACCAACCATTCAGGTCAAGGTATCTGGAAGGGGGCTGGGTAATAGAAACACAAACCCTAGAGAGAAATCTTGGGTCAAGCAGCCACCTGAATTTGTACCTACTGTATACACTCAACCCCTAGATACGGCACACACACGTCCTCTTCTCATAGAAACAAAAATGACTCTCTTCACCTGTTACGGATCCAATTACCGCAAGGACGACAGCAAATGCACCTGTCACTTCTCCAGCTGGAGCCACGCCCACAGCCTCCACCTCCTGCATCCTCAACTTCTGTCATGGAGAGGAGGGACCCAGCATGCTGTCCATTTTTCTCTTGGTCCATTGGGGTCTCCTATCCCAATTCTGAAAGCCCATGCTGAAAACCCAGGCTGCCCTGGGAATAGAAAACTAGAGGTAGATGTCTGCTTTCTACAGTCAAAGATGTCAGCATTGAGGGCCCAGGGATGGAACAAAATTCTTTCATGAGAGAGAACTAACTATTCAACATCCGTTCTCCTCTTCCTAGTTCAGGAGGTTGGGGTGAACAATCTACAGCTTCCAGTCAGTCTTTTGTGTGTGTATATTTGCAGGAAATGAAGAGGTGGGGTTGAGGCTACAACCACCACTGACCATTGCTGCCACTATTACAAACCTTTGACTGGTTTTTCCACTCAAACTTCCCCTTACTGATCGGCAAATTCATCCTTGTGCTGTCTGAACTCCTTGGTGGTCCTGCCACAGTAAGGTTGTAGGATTTTCTATCAACTTGTACTACTTGTTAGAGTATTACGAGAAGCAAACCTCGATCCTCCTGTCCTGTGTGTCACAACAACACGAAGTTCTCTCAATAATCAAATAAATAAGTCCAACCTGCTGACCTCAGTGCTATCTTCACATCAAGTAGCCTGAGAAGCCAGGTGTGGTCAGATTCAAAACCACTGTTGTCAGCCTTGAGGGGGGCATTCTCAGCTACTAAAATTCCTGGAACCAAAATCCCAGTCATAGGTATTGAAAACAAAACTTTTGAAAGTGATTCATTGTATGTAACCATAGAGTTATCACCCTCATCGTAACTGCTTACTGCCCAGGTTTATAAATTCTGGCTATCACAGGAAATGAGGTCAATTATAGGTATGGATTCAGAGCATAGCACATTCTAAAGGCAACTCCCAGCCTCTGACACGGAGCTGAGTCCCCTTTGGGCCATTTCCATGGGATCTAAGGCTGTCACTTCCGGGGGTGAGATTCACCGGGCGCCAAGTGGTCAGCCTTGATGACGGGTTCCGTGTTGCGTGGCTACACAGAGCTCCACATCAGGTACATGGTTAGGGAGCCCATCCTGAAAACACCAGGCTGCCCTGGGAATAGAGGAGACTTGCAGCCACAAAGGTCCCTTCTTCCCCTGTTTATAAAGACTGTTTCATGGTAGAGACCTCCTAGTGAGCATTCACGTGGAACAGGGTATTTTCAGCTCATTCTGAGAGCTCCAATTATATTTGTCTTCCCCAAATATCTTTGTCACCAAGCCAGCAGATGCATTCCTTCTAAAATGCTGTACTTCCAGCCAAATCCTCAGCTCTTTCCCAGCAAACAATGCAGATCCTGATCCGAGGACGCTGCCCTTTCCAGGCAGCCTGGACTGTGAGGTG